ATACTATATATATATATATATATATATACACACTTTCCAAATATTCCACGCTGATTTCTTAGCAGGAGTTCTGCCAGCAGTGCTACGGTAAAGCTGTCTCTGCACTTAATTAATGAACAACCATGCCATCAAGGCATGTGGAAGAGTGGAGGTATGGTCCCATCATTCTTAACCTTGACACTAGATGAGATAGGTGGTCAGCATCAGGCCCCTGCCACATGAAGAAGCCCAAGTACCCACCACATTAGAGACTGGTAAGCCTCAGGGCCTTGGCCACGCCATAGCTCAAGCGGTGAGCCGCTGGCTTCCCACCACGGCAGCCCAGGTTCGATCCCGGGTCTGGTCAAGTGGGATTTGTGGTGGACAAAGTGGCACTGGGGCAGGTTTTCTCCAAGTACTTCTGTTTCCCCTACCAATCTTCATTCCACCAATTGCTCCACAATCGCCCTCACCTATCATCTGGGGCTAGTACAGTAGCCCAGAAGTGGCTGCAGTACAGGGGACTCAGTCCCACCCCACTAGCAATAAAAAAAAAGCCTCAGGGCCAATATGAAAGCTATCGCAAGGAGAAAGATCTCTAGCCTCTGTCAGGAATTGGAACCTGAGTCCTTTGCTGAGTACTAAATTATTTCTATTTATACAATATTATGGTAACTTAGGAATTGAAAATTTCTACAGTGCTGTACTTATTAAAAATACAAATTTTATTATATATTTAAAACACACCTCCAGCGCTGAAAGCCAGACCTGAGACAGCCAGAAGAAATGGAAACCACATCTTGCTGCAAAGTGTAACATCTGTGCCCACTGCCATATATTGTTACAATGACTGATTCCACTATTCTGCACAAGAGAAAGTGAGAGGTTATCTAATCTCAGAGTATTTGCCAAATACACTTCCGTTTGGACTGTCAACTGATCTGCAATATACTGTGTTAAAGCCTTTATGCTGCTATGTAACTAGAATGCCACCAAAGCAGGTACTCACATTTTTCAGCAGCACAACACTAAAGCAAACCACAAATTCAACATGTAGAATCTGAGTTTTTCACAGCAGTGGCTATGAAAAGTTGTATTTTCTGGACTCTGCTTACCACATTTTCAAAGCAATTTCTTGTTTGACTTATTTCTTGGCCCTGAAGATGGAAGCGAAATACTCCTCAAAAATATTGGTTGGCTTTCAACAGATTACATGTCATTATATACCAGAAGATAGAACTCTTCATAACCACTGCTGTGAGAACCTCAAACCCTACATGAGAGACCAAGTTTCACATCAATACAAAACCAGAGGCATGATTATAGTTATATATCTTTCAAATCTTTGCATTTTTATATACCATCCAGAAAGACAGACGATTTATGAGCTGAAATACACCAAGAATTGCCCAGATTTCTAAAGACATAATAAGGGTTGTGGTGAACTTTAATAAGTAAGGAATCCAGTTGAAAATAATGAAACTAAACTCAGGAAACACATGCCATTAATGAGATAATCTTTCATCTGTTCTTTCCATTGAGATTAAGGTTAAACATGAGGATGATATGTCAAAATTAAGATTATGGTCTTCTGGAAGTATCATTCTGGAAGGGTTATAATCTTAAGATTACTGTCAACTCTTTCTATGCTATACATGATGCATCTCACCCAAAAGCACTAAGTTTCATGTACAAGCCTTATTTTTTGATTGAAAAGATAAGCAGAAGAAGTGTCTCCCAACATCTGTCAACAGCTAAAGTGAACTAGAAATGGCTCTCCAATAATATAAATTCATTCATTAATCAGTAATCTGCCAAGACAACAGGTCCACAGTCTCTTCTAAAACAGTTCCTCCACTTGATGCGATCTAGAGCTTTCTCCTTCAAATGACAGTATCCTCTTCTGTCCCCAAGTCATCCAGCATCTTCTTACGTCTTCTTCCTTGTCTTCTGTCACTTCTATCCACACCTCTATCTTTCCTTCAATAACTTCTTTTAGAAGGCAGTTACTGCGTAAGATATGACCAATCCAATTAGCCTTCCATTTCTTATTTCGTGTAGGATATTCCTCTGCTCACTGACTCTAAATAACACTTGTTCACTTCTCACATAATCGGTCCAACTGATCTTCTCCATCCTTCTCCAACACAACATTTCGAAACTTTCCAGGTGTTTCTGATCTACTGCCCTAAGTGTCCAAGTTTCAGCCCCATACAGAGCATACTCCAGACGTAGCATTTCACTAGTTTCTTTCTCAGATTTAAGTCCAATTTGCTTGTAAAAAAATTCTTCTTCTTGCTAAATGCAGCTTTTGCCATGGCAATCCTAGATTTATTAGCAGAATTACTCCCTATGCTTAACTAATTAAGCACTATGCCATGAAGTCATACGATGGAATTAATGTATAGATCCACATTTTCTTGATCTCAGCACTAGGTGGAGGTGAGTGATCAGCTTCACGCCCCGGCCACTTTACCCTCCGAGAAAGAGCCCCTGGTACCCATTGGATAGGAGGTTGTGTGGACCCCAGAGCCAGTCTGGACAACATGGACAAGAGAAAATTCTTTACCCTACCAGGACTCAAACTTCTACCCCTCAATCATCCAGTCTGTAGCCAGTCATTATACTGACTACACTATCCTGGCTCCTAATAAATTAACAAAAAGATTCCTTAAATAAAACAGATGTGGAAAAGAAATTACCATCTTCTGGGGTTGTGATGCTGTGTAGTCTAATAGACCATTATTGGCACTGTGGAAGGATGTGCTGCCTCCGCCTTCAGGGTACATTCCACCCAAACATTGTTAACAATATCTTATGGTTATGACTATCAACACAACAATAAAAAGGAATATCTTCACATGAAGACAAAACAGATGTTGATACATGTCTTACTTATTTAATACTACATGTTTCAACCTATGATTTAGGTCATCATCAGGCACCTTCTATGACACATAATCCAAGTTATTAAAGTTAACTGTTCTGATATGGATCCATATATTGCAATTGGTGTCTGCTGTTGTGGACACATACTTATTTGTAGAGTGACAGTAAATCTACATTACAATGTTGTAATGAAGCTTATTACAAGCAGTTACAATTTAAAATTTAAATATAAAAAATATTTGTTCCCTAATACATGGATTAGAGGAGTTAGAAGTCCTTAGCACCTTTGTCAATTTTGGATGTTTATGCCATGGGATACTTAACTATAACCATGCTATAGACGTGTAGTATTAATCATCTGCTAGCTGACGTTCCTGGGTGTTGTGGAAAATGCTGTTATGATCATGTGCCAGAGTGCTGGTGGGGGTCTTTGTACTACCTTCTGCTTTGTAGCTTTTTACTGAAACTAAGTACTATTGTATTAGTAATGTATAAATATGAGTTTATTGTTTATTGTTATTAAATAACTCCACAAATCCTGTACAGGGGCTTTAGCACCCACTTATAGTACTGTCTAATTTTTAAAAACGTTAAACAGCAGAAAATTGAGAAGTGGGGAGAATATTTACCTAATTCTTGTGTGAGTGATGTGTTCATAATTTTGTGTTTCCTTTGTATGGTTATTTTGGATTGACATAGGAGAGTTAGGTGTAATAAGGAAGAATGGCTCTATCTGCAATTATGTTGTATTTAGTGAATACTTACAACTTTTTACTTATACATTTGAATATTAATGAGCACTAAAGCTGCCCAGTTTGTGTGGCTGTTATTCATGAAGCCATATGATATGAGTATTTCAGTAAAACATATCAGAGAGATACCTGGTTATAATCTGGGCTGCATCATCAGTTATCCTGGCTGAGATATTCATAACTTTCCTCAGTCCCTTTATAAAAATACCAAGATAGTATCTTGATTAATCCATGACTGCTTCCTTCCAAATCCTTTCCAAATTTGTTATTCAACAGTCATCCTACCATTTTGCACTACACAATCTAAGAAACTAGCATCATAAAATAAACCATAAAGAAATGAAATACACAGCACCACATTGCATAACACAGTAATCTCAATGATCTCCATTATGAGAACCTCAAATCTCAAACAATATGGAAAGGGTTAAAACATATATAATTATAATCTTTTTTTATTGGAGGGTGAAATTTGATCTCTCACTTTGAAGGGAAAAGGAATCCAAAAAGTTCTGAAGCTAAGAGAAGGAAAGGCCAGGGAAAAAAGATTAGATAAATGTTTAATCACATCTTATCTGACAGTGTGCAAGTTGTTTGCTTCAAACAACTGTAACAGCCTGAACACACAAAGGCCTGGTTGTTTGCAAAAGATACACAGGAAGTTCAAGAAGAATAATGTTTACAAACACACCTTCATTTGTGAGATCTTAGGTTTTCACGGTGGTGACTGTGAAGGTTACAGCTTTCTAGGAATAGGTGCCATATAGTCTGGTACACAGGTACCTTTGTTTTAGAGGCACCTTCTGTCTCCACCTTAAAGCAGAACTATACTCATGATGAAGGCAACATGTTCCCCTAAAATGCTGGTACCTGCTACAAAACTACAGTGAAAGAAACAATCCTATTTTATTAAATTGTTACTATCATTTATGTGTTCCACAGCAAGATAAACATAATATACAAATAACATCCACTTTCCTACTATCAAATTTACTCAAAACTTGTCTTTTAAATAGTAATTACCATTTTATAGGTTAGATGTAACATTTTAGTACCAGACTCAAACAGATTCCCACAATTCTTATACCAGTTACAATTTCTGGTATCCTGTATTCTGTATTGGACATTCCACACTTCCTGTTCATAATATTATGTATTATATAGAACAGCTGTTCTTGTATGAAGAAACAAGCTATATTCATGCATGATGCATATTCAAATCAATTAAATTCAATTCAATTCTTTATTATTTATGTGCCGAGTTAACAGTTACAAGCCAATTACAAACACAGCACAAACTAACATAACATTTATGGCACTATGAAGTATTAGCTCAGTTCCATCTTCTTTTCATCTCATGTCCTAAATAAATTGTCTCTACATCTTAACATAGCCAATGTCTGAAGTACCTTGAATATTATGGACCATGCATTTATGAGATCTGCATTTGCCATAGCAGTGAATGTTAAGAATTACAGTCTTCTGGGATACAATACCACGACATTGACTTGAAGACACTGCAAATTTATAGCATCTTCTGCAAGTATGGGCAGGTTTATTGGTCAGGCCACATGTTCCACTCATACCACTGTCAAAGAACATTACAAGCATATCCATCTCTGAACATATATATATAATACTTTATTACATATTTATAGGTAAAAAATTATACATATGTTCATTGTATATATGCAACAGGATGCAATACTTAAAAATATCCATCTCTATTCAGTCATGTATGAACACAACATCAACGTGGGCCACCCGATCCAAATTCTGTAACACCTCCTTCTAAGAACATGTCGTGACTTGGTTTCTCTAATCTTGCCCCTGTTACAGCCACTGGTAATCTTGTAGTGCTGCACCCTGTTTGTGGTGACTACAAATAAAAATGGAGGGGTTGCCATCATACAAACAAATGTTTTTTACTTACATTCTGGCCCAGATATGATAACATTGGGTGGCATTTGTAGA